TAGACTACTGTGTGAAGAATTTGTATATGACCCATTTGTTATGTCGTCACTATTATAGCTCAAGCATATTGCTTCTAACACTCCATTAGGACTCTCCGGCACCTGCACTGACCGCTCCTTCGGTGCTAATGCAGTTCCTCCTCTACTCATCTTATCAGACTGATCTCGCATCTTATCAGACTGATCTTGCATCATCTTTAAACATATAGCAACTCTCTCCTGCGAAAGACAAGACCAATGATAAAATTGAATTAGTATAATGTTTCTAGTCTTTTCGATATTCAATTTCAGCTTTAGGTAGAATGGTTTTTACTCCCATAAGTTAGGGGATTGGTTAAGCGTGTTTTTCGATGCATTTAGATGTAAAGTTTCAATCTTTACGAGTACTTGGAGCGCGTATATGTTTAGACCGATACCTGTTTTACATGTATGAGACTAGATAACTCTTTCTCGATATTAACCATTTCCGCTTCTCCTGAAAAGGAAATGGCAATTGCTGCTGATGCAGCTATCTCAGAAGGCTTGAAGTCTAAGAATTCAATTTCTGCATTCAATACAAAACCCATTACCCATTCTGATCAAAGCAAGTTAGTCGCAAACTTTCTTTTTAGTAAAAAGCCGTAACAACACCTTTGGTGGTGTTCAGTATGAGTTGTGATGATCTATAGATATCAGTCTCTGAAAGGTGGTGATCTTTGATCTTGCAAACAAAATAATCAACGAACGAAAATGGAGTTATAACTTGCATTCTCCAATTCAATGTGTTAAGTACCAAAAGTTCCATTATTTTTATTGTTTTGGCCTCAAAAACAAACTTTGGATCTTCCACCTAATCATCACAAGTTCACAACCATTAGAAGCTAATCAATATCAATACTAATTCCTTTACGCAGTTTCGATATTATTCACAATGTTGCTTAAAGAGTAGTCACCTGTAAATCAAGAGATTGAGGCACATATGTTTCTTCCATTTTGGCTGCTAATGATAAACAAGACACAGCAAGCAATTGAATAGCCCAATCCTTGTCTTTCTAAGCAAGTGTAAAAACACAATCATATCATCTTTGCTTCGATTATCCGAAAAACCAATTCGAATACGAAGTAATATAACTTACTGGTAATTCAGAGGTTGTCAAGAACCGATCGAAGTAATTTATGGATAAGTAAATGCAGAGTGGTCCAAAATGGTGATGAACACAAGCCTGTTTCAATAAAACAGACAAATAAAATCAAAAACTTAATTTGATCACTTAAAGACACAAAATCTCTAATTAGATCATAATCTTAAATGATCTAGCAAAACGAATTAAAAACACAATCAGACAAAACTCATTAATCAAAAACTGAACCTTCCAAATCCAATCCGTAGCTTCGTTTCTAAGACGAAACTCGAAATCACCAGAACGCAATCTGTTAAGGTAATCAATTCCAGGTTTAAAGTCAGTCTCTTTCTCAACCATCTCTCTGATATTATTACA